TCCTTGATGTGCTTAATTGAGAGGAGCATGGCGACCTCCTTCTTCACGAATTCCCTCCTCTCGACGGAGAGGGGTCTCCTTCGTTGTTGTACTGCTTTTGCCGAGGGGTCCACCGAGAGGCAGTGGGTGATGACCCTTCGGCTTATTCCCGGCATGTCCTCCGGCCCCCATGCAAAGACAGTGGAGTAGGCGCGGAGGGCGTCGGTGATACCGGTCTTCGAATCTTCAGGGAGCTGGGCTCCAATCTTCACGACTCTCTCCGGCTGGGCCGGATCGAGCGCGAAGTCTTCTACGTCCTCGGTCGGTTCAGCCCTCGGCCTTCTTTCCTCTTGGTCGATGGCTCCGGTGATGGTGTCAACACGGAATTCCGTCTTACTTACCTTCTTAGTGACCTGAAGATAGCAGGCGCGGGCAATTTTCTGGTTCCCCCGGGAGTAGCCAATGCCCCCTTCGGCGGGAAACTTGAGGCAGAGGTGCCTCATGGAGATGATGGCTTCGAGGTCCTCGAGGGCTGGCCGGCCGAGGATGATGTTGTGGGCGCAGTCAATGTTGACGACGACGAACTCCACTTCGAGCTGGGTTCTATGGAGCCCGTCGCCGAAGATCACCGGGAGGGTTATTACCCCCTCGGAATCAATAGTGTCGCCGGTGAAGCCGGCAAGAGGGGTCTTAATGGGCCGAAGGGACCCCCTCTCCATATGCAGCTCTCTGAAGGTGCTGAGGTACATTACATTGACGGAGCTGCCCGTGTCAATGTAAGTTCGGTGAATGATGGTGTCGCTTATCTCCGTCCGAATTACCAAGGCATCCCTGTGAGGAGAAGAAGTAGGGGGGAGATCTGCGTTGGTGAAGGTGATGGGTTCCTCCCTCAATCGCTTTACCGGGGGCATATGAGTGACTTCCCCCACGTAAAGCGATTGAGTCCACTTCTTTCGTTGGCTGGTGGAATCGCCCCCTGTATTGCCACCGGTGATCATGAGGATGTGGCGTTTTTTCTCCTGGTAGTGGGGGTATTCCTCCTCCTCTTCTTCCAAGTTTCCAATCTCCCTCTTCTTGCCGAGGGGGATGGTATTCGGGTTTACCCAAGCATTTACCTTCGTGTGGTGCCCTCGGGGAGGCCCCTGATGAAAAGGTCCCTCCTGCCGAGGGCTCTGAACAAATTGGGACAGGTGCCCTGCTTGTATTAACCTCTCGATGGCCGTCTTTAGCTGATGGCAGTCATCGGTCCTGTGCCCCTGGTGCCGATGGAAGCGGAAGTAGGGGAACTGAGGGTTGATAGCGTGTACCTCCGGGGGTGCGCGAGAGTCGCGCTCAACGAGGCCCCTCTCCTCGGCAAAATCGAGGATGATGCTGACGGGGTGCGTCAATGGTGTCCGAGGGCGGTCCAGGAGAATGGGCTGGGCCCAAGTCTTAGGGTTGCTCTTATAACCTCCCCGGGCTTGGCTTGGCCTTGCCGAGGGCGGTCATCAGAGGGTCCCGAAGTCTTGGGGTGATTTGGAGGAGCCCCCGGCCCTCGGTTATGCTTGTTGTCAGTCCTCGGGGGCTGCTGGTCCGGATGCTGGTGATACTTCTCCACCTCCTCGGCCTCAGCATATCGCCCCCCCCCCCCCCCCCCCCCCGCTGCAAAGCCCTTATGTAGTCGCGGGGGGGTTCAATGATGAGGCTCCTTGAAAAGTTGTCGGTGCGGAGGACGGTTTGTAGGAGGGCCAGGAGGGTCCCGTCATCAGCACCGTCGACCTTGTCGGCCTCCGTCCTCCAGCGCTCTAGGAAGTCCCGAAGGGTCTCATCCCTCTTCTGGCGTATTGTTAGGAGGTGGGAGAAGTGCTTCCTTGTGCGACGCCTCCCGGCAAATTGTGTCAAGAATCGCTGGGCGAGTTCTTGCCATGAATCAATACAGCCCTCGGGCAGCCTGTTGAACCATTCGTATGCCGGCCCCTCTAAGGTGGAGAGGAACCAACGACACAAATATTCGTCCGACGCCCCTACCATCATCATGTTGTTCTGGTACTTGCTGTAATGTTCATGGGGGTCCGTTTTTTCGTTGTAGGGCTGTATATGTTGCCCTCGGTATTTTTCTGGGATCCGGGCCGCCAATACCCTTGGGGTAAATGGCGTCCGAGTCCGGAGCTGGATGACGGGTTCCCCGGAGCCCTCGGCCACCTTCTTCTGTAACTCCTCCATTTTGGCCATCATAGCCTCGTATTTGAGATCTGAATGAGGGGTGGAGGTGGTGGCGTGAGCTTTGTTGGACTCCATCTCGTCAAGCCGGCATCGGAGGGCCGCAATAATCTCGTCCCGGGGATCCTTCGGGAGGGTCTCCGCCCCCTGCGAACGAACCTGGGCCGAGTGGGCCTGGTTGATTTGGTGCCGAGCATCATCGGCATGAAGGGGTGCCTTGCCTTTGTCCCGAGGGGGACGCTCCTCGTCTGCCCTCGAAACAGATCCCCCGCTTTCCCGGGGCCTTTGGAGTGCTTTCCCCCCGAGGCGGTCTTGGACCCCTCGGCGGTCTGGCCCTCCTCCGAGCCGGTTGAGGGCGGAAGTACGGGGCCTTTCCCTGTTGTCATTATGGCGGTCCCGGGACTGAACTTCCTAGGAGGACGTATCTTGGGCCACCACCCCTTCGTCGTTTCTCACCCGAGGGGTGGGATTTCCGCAAGGGGTGTGGCAGAGGGGGAAGTATGATATTTTCCCCGATCTGAGGGTGAGCTGGAGCCAGGGTGCCGAAGGCACCCGGGTTCTGGGTGAGCGTCTGGATGAAGGCGGAGAGCGCCGATTGCACGTCGATGGTGAGAACCGGAGGGCTGACTTAGTCATCGCTCCGGTTTTTCTTCTTGGCCTCGATGCCGAGGCGGGCATCGGGGGCATTTTGTTGGATCTGAAGGCGTAGATCGACAGCCGCCTGTTCCAGCCCAGCGATGACACCGCCCTCGGGAGCCCTGTGAGAGGCTTCGGGGGCGTTGACGTCGCCGAGGGCCAGGTTCTTGTCTTCTACGTTCTTTGAGTTGGCACGTGTTGTCCTCACCATTTTGATAGAGGGCTAGTGTTTTGTGTTTGGTCGAGGGGGAGGGTTTCTTACTTGATTGTTCGACCTCTCAACGAGAGCACCAAATGATGGATAGTCTACCCGGGGGTATATATCCGAAGGGTTTTTACGGGGAATAACTTAGAGAGAAGTCAGAGCAAGTAAGTAAAAGTAGAGAGAGAGTGTATTCAGTATGAATGCCGTTTTCAGCGTGGTTACAAATGGGGAAATGGGGTGCTATTTATAGTAGCAATAAATGCCGGGCAGGGACACGTGTCAAGCGCTCATTGGCCGAGGGGTCACCTCAACTGGTTGGCGCTGGCAGCCGCATGTGGCCGCATTTAATGCGGCTGTTGGATGGGACGTTTGTGCGGGGTACGGTGATCTGTACGCATGTGAGGCGGATATATTGTCGAATGAGATGCCTTCGGCCATAGAGCAGTAGCCGAGGGCTCCTCCAACCGATGGCACCCTGGTGCCGAGGGCTCACAGTGCCGAGGGCTACTGTTTTCGCCGTTTTTCTCCCAGTTTCTTAATTTGCTTGAGAAACCCGTTCTGTGAGAGTTTAGAGCCTTCGGCCAGGAGGCCGAAGGCACCCCTGGCGCGTAGTGTGGGCTGCTTGGTACTCTGGGTGCTGTGATTTGGGCCTGTTGGACCTTCTGGGCCTGTTGGGCCTCTAAAGGAGTAGTAGGAGTCTGTGGGCCGGGGGTTCCCGGACCATATACTCCATCATATATATATATATATATATATATATATATATATATATATATACATATATATTACATGAATTTAAAACAAAATGTGTTAGCGGTTTCCCCCAAAAATAATGTTTTTATATACCAAATTAGGGCAATGTTAATTCATTTTTCAACCAAAAAGAAATGGAAAATAATACTACGTATAACTTAGCATACTAAATACTCACATACACGTACATAATCTTGTACTTAGAAAATTGAATATGCTTTTTGTTGGTCCAAAATAGGGCACTCATAGGCTTTTAGGAAAGCTACGTACTTTGGCCGTTATTGTTCCTGGCTGGCAGGCTGGATGCTTCAGCTCCCCCCTGCTGGACTGGACGGTGAGCTCCCCGCTAGGCTGGAGGAAGGCTTCTGGCCGGGCTGGAGACAGACTCCTCGTTAGGCTGGAAGGCAAGCTCCCCCGTTGGGCTGGAGGTAGGCTGCTGGCCGGGCTGGAAGGCAGGCTCCCACCTGGGTTGGACCGCAGGCTCCTGGCCGAGCTAGAAGGCAGGCTCCCAACTGGGCTTATCGGCAGGCTCCTGGCTGGGCTGGAAGGCAGACTCCCCACTAGGCTGGAGGCAGGCTGTCGGCCGGGCTGGAAGGCAGGCACCCCGCTGGGCTGGAGGCAGACTGCTGACTGAGCTTGAAGGCAGGCTCCCCGCTGGGCAGGAGGCAGGCTGCTGGCTGGGCTGGAAGGCAGGCCGTGTTGGGCTTCCACTCCTCGATGGGCTTGGTCGGTTGGGCCACCTCAAGCGCTGGGTCACTGGGCTTGGACCTGCTGGTCCAAGTTCGGGGCCTGGACCGATTAAACTCTGGGCCTAGTCTCATAACCCCATCATGAGTCCCCCACTCCCTTAGTCAAGTAGTAGACTCGATTAAGAGGGAGTAGTTCAAGTCAATTGCCAATTTAAAATTATTCATGTTGGTCCAAAATAGGACGCTCGTAGGCTTTTAGGAAAACTACGTACGACACTCAAGCAAGAATTAGGAAAGTACGAATATGGAAAGTTAGCCAGAAATAGCATATCTGTATTTGAAATTCGAATTGCCTTTTATAGGCGATTACAAATGGTAACTGCCGAACATAATAATGACTAAATTAATTACAACATTAATACGGAATTAAACACATAATTAAGTCGCGCATTGATTGTTGGCCGTTACTCTTCCTGACTGGCAGGTCAGCCTGGCTGGCTGGACGCTTGAGCTACCCCCTGCTGGACTGGACGGTGGGCTTCCCGCTAGGCTGGAGGAAGGCTTCTGACCGGGCTGGAGGCAGGCTCCCGGGTAGGCTGGAAGGCAGGCTCCCGGGTAGGCTGGAAGGCAGGCTCCCGGGTAGGCTGGAAGGCAGGCTCCCCGTTGGGCTGGAAGGCAGGCTCCCGGGTAGGCTGGACCGCAGGCTCCCAGTTGGGCTGGACCGCAGGCTCCCGGGTAGGCTGGAAGGAATGCTCTCGGGTAGGCTGGACCGCAGGCTCCCAGTTGGGCTGGACCGCAGGCTCCCAGCTGGGCTGGTGGTCGACAGGCTCCTGGCTAGGCTGGAAGGCAGGCTCCCGGGTAGGCTGGACCGCAGGCTCCCCGCTGGGCTGGTCGACAGGCTCTCTTGGGCTTCCGCTCCTTGATTGCCCTGGTTGGTTGGGCTGACTCGAGCTCTGGGTTGCTGGGATTGGGCCCGCTGGTCCAAGTTCGGGGCCTGGGCCTAGTCCCATAACCCCATCACGAGTCCCCCACTCCCTTAGTCGAGTAGTAGACTCGGCTAAGAGGGAGTAGTTTAAGTCAGCTGCCGATTTAAAAATATTCACATATCAGGGAGCCATAATTGTGGATTATGGGAATCCCAGAGTTTATGGAATTTCCAAATTAAATCAGGCTCCCAAAAAAGGCTCCAAATAAATTCCTTCCTTTTCTTTTCTTTCCTTTTCTTTTCTTTCCTTTTTTTTTCTTTTCCTTTCTTTTCTTTTCTTCCTTTCTTTTCTTTTCTTTCCTTTTCTTTTTCTTTCCTTTCTTTTCTTTTTCCTCTCTCTCCTGGACCCCTGCGTGCGTGCGTCTTCTCCTAGCCGTCCCAGCGCCGCAACGTAGTAAACCCAACGTGGACCGCCGTATGTGGCCTTGACCTCCCTACCTCGCCGGGCTCTCCACCAGCCGGCGGTTTTTCCGCAACGGCCGACGGCGACAGGCTCGAGCCGGCCGGCTTCCGGCGTCGGTCCACGAACCGTCCAGGTCAGGCGGCCAGCCGGCCACCGCTATGCACTTCGGATTTGAAAGCGACGGGCCAGGCTGGAGCCACAATTCCCCGGGGTTCCGCGTTGTCCGGCGGTCGTCTGGGTGCTCCTTCCTCCGGGCGGCAAGGTGCTGCCACCATCTTCTCTTCTTCTTGCTTTGCACTGACGGAGACCAGGCACGCACAGGGGTCCAGCGCCGCCGTCCTCCCAGCTTGCTGTTGGCCGTTTGTGGCGCGGCGCTTCAGGCAGGCGGCCGGGCTTCAGTGGCTGCAGGGCCCTTCCGGGTGAATGCCCGTCAATGCGGGACCCTCGCAAACTTAGAACCTTGACCTTCTATCAGGCTGGCGACTTTCCAGTCCACTGTACATCCGTGGCTGCCCGAGTGTCGTCCTGAACTCCGGCAGATCTGGTATGTGGGTCTGGAATTCAACTGTCCGACGCAACCTGCATGGATTGGTGGCCAAGCATAGGGTCAGCGTCTGCATCACAGGTCGGGTGATTGTGCCTTGCTGGTTGTGGTCCGATGCCATCGTCTTGTGTGGGTTGGACGCGTCGGGAACATTGATCGATAATGGTGAAAACCCTACCTCCCATGTACTCCATATGGGAGCTTCGTGAAGAGGGGAATCGACAAGAGAGAGGCTGACCTCACCCTTACCGATTCACTTTCGTTTTTTTTTATATTCTGATGATAACTTTCTGTTGTCTGTAGGGTCTCAACGCTCGGGATGACCTGCTGAAGATTTTGTTCACGGCGGCAAGCACCAAGGCAATTGCGGGTTCTCATGCCCTCACGGAGATCCCCGAACGTGTGAAGGATCATGAGGACGAGAGAGCCCCACGGCGGGGAGCCTACCTTCCAGTTCGGACTTCGAAGCATGTAAGGCGGCAAGCGCCCCTATCGCGGAAACGGCGGTCAAGGCTTTCCCTCAGGAGTGCCCAACAATGTAAGTTGATTGCGACATAGTACTTGGGCGTCAGTCGCCAGTTGATGGTGGCGTAGTACCTGAGAGACGGCCAAGAGTGGACTGACCATGGCGATGACTAAGTTGACTTTCAGATTCTGGGAGAGTTCCTTAAGCTTTCTAGTAATTCCCGTGTCTGGATCATTGTACTTGATGGCCATGGGAACATCCGGCCATGACTGTTGCACCTTTTTTTTTGTAGCTTGTAGCCACCATATGTAAAATTCGAATGAATATTACCTTTTAATTCATATGTTTCCTTTTCTATACTTTGCATTACGAATACTTAGCAATTTATTCGGGGATCTGGCTTCTCTAACCTCCCGGGGGGCGGTTAGGCTGGCGTGGCCGAGCCTATCCGTGCCCCTCCTAGTTGGATAGAAGTGATCTGTTCGCTATTGATATGGAATCAACAAATAAGCGACTTGTTTGGCCAGCGAGGTCGGACATTGAACCGACGAGGAAGACCCTTAGGTCGGTATCCTGAACGTTCATGACCCGGGGGTCAGTCCTACTGTCACTTTAACCCATCCAGTTTGCCCGGACTTGGGGAATAATCTGGTTACTCCCGCATGGATAGCCAAACAACAGGGGCGGACCCTGCATGATCCACCAGAACGAACCCGCACCGCCAACTCAGGGATGACGAGAGTGCGAGCTGCTTGGCCAGCGATGTTAGGCGGTGAGCACTCGAAAAGACCCGGAGGTCAGCATCCTGAGTACCCTCGACCCGGAGGTCGGCCCTACCATCGCCTCGACTGTCGCGGCTAGCTCTTTACTTTAGAAAATTGCCCGGATTCTTGAAAATCGCTTGGCTATTTTCGGTTAAAGAGCCTGGCCGAGGTCGGCCAAACACCGAGGGGGGGCATAGTACCTTTTTTTTTTGCCGCCGCCCTTTATTGCTAAGTGAGGTCGGACCTCTTTTGATGACAAAATATCGCTAGCAAAGTATATTGAATTCATGATGTGGGCGGACCACATGAAGAATTACAAATTGTAATCTCGTGCTCGGAGCACAGGAGTTTACAAAGAAAAGTGAAACTTCGATTTTCTACTGGTAAAACTTCATCAGGTGCTCGGCATTCCAGACGCGGTCTACCAACCGGCATGTTGTTGTCTTCAACTTGTATGTCCCAGGGCCGATCACTGCGTCAACCACGTAAGGGCCTTCCCACTTGACGGAGAGCTTACCTCCCTCTGTCGGCCTGCTGGCCTTCCTACGTCTTAGGACATAATCACCGACGTCAAAACTTCGGGGTCGGGCTCGGCTGTCTTGGTACGCCCTGACTTGTCGTCGATAGTTTTCCGCTTTGATGAAGGCACAGTCTCTTCTTTCCTCAATGAGGTGGAGCTCGGCTCGGAGCCTCTCCTCATTGCTGGCTGGTTCAAACTCTTCCACTCGCCAGCTGGGAACTACGGCCTCGAACGGTGCCCTCGCCTCAAAGCCATAACACAAGGCAAAGGGGGTCTCTCCTGTTGCCTTCCTTGGGGTTGTTCTGAAGGTCCAGAGTATATTGTTCAACTCCTCCACCCAGGCAGTCCCGAGGGCCTCCAACTTCTTTTGCAGTCCATCGACGATCGTCCGGTTGGTGTTCTCCACCTGTCCATTTGCCTGGGGGTAGCAGACCGCAACTCGGCTGGATTCTACTCCCCACTCTGCACAGAATTGCCGGAAGGCTTCGCAGTCAAACTGCCTTCCGTTGTCGGAGATTATTTGGAGGGGAACCCCAAACCGGCAGAAAATATTCTTCCATATGAACTTCTTACATTGGAGATGTGTGATGCTGGCAAGCGGCTCGGCCTCAACCCACTTCGTAAAGTAGTCCACCGCGACGATGACAAACTTCCGGTTTCCCGACCCGGTTGGTAAGGGACTGACCAGGTCGACACCCCATCTTGTGAATGGAAGGGCGGTGCTGATCGGTGTGTACATCGTTGCTGGTCGGCCGGGGCTCTTCTGGAACTTCTGGCATGTCTTGCATCTCCTTGCATAGTCAGCGCAATCCTTCATTATTGTTGGCCAAAAGTACCCTTGGAGGACGACCTTCCTAGCTAACGTGCCTGCCCCCTGATGGGCGGAGCATACGCCCCCATGGAGTTCAGAGACGATCATTTCCGCCTCATGTGGGCGTAAACACTTTAGCAAGGTCCCATTGTAGGACCTCTTGTACAACTTCCCATCCAAGACGACGTAGCCCGGAGCTCGTCGCCGGACTAACCTTGCCTCCTCTTCTTTCTCGGGGAGCGTCCCATCGGCTATGTAGCGCAGGAGGTCATCCACCCAACACCAGGCGACTGGTTGCAGGGGAAGGACGTCAATGGACGGTGAGGCTGATATGCTTGAGGTCGTCATCTCCTCAATGCGTGCAATTCTCGATATATGTTCAGGTAACCCTTGGGATAGCTTTGAGAGGAGGTCTGCATCGGAGTTTTGATTTCTCGGGATGCAGATCAACTCTGCTTGCTTGAACAACCCGAGCAACTCCCGAACAACATCTCGATACTTCATCATTCTTTCTCCCTTCGCTTCGAACTCACCTTTGACCTGTGAAACCACCAGACGGGAGTCACATTTCACCGTTATCCACTCTACTCCCATGGAGGCCGCCAATCGTAGCCCAGATAGTAGGGCCTCGTACTCCACCTCATTGTTGGAGACTTTGAAAAGATAGCGGTAGGCATAGTAGGCTCGGAATCCCTCGGGTGAGATGAGGACGATTCCGCCCCCGCATCCCTTGGCTCCTGCCGACCCATCAGTCGCTAGAGTCCACCATTGTTCATTGCTCTCCTGTTGCCTATCTGCCACTTCTCGGGCCGTGCATTCCACAATGAAATCAGCCAGAGCCTGGCCTTTGATGGACGTCCGAGGCTGGAAGTCAACCTCGTATTGGTTGAGGAGCATCGACCACTTCACTACCCGGGTTGTGCCGGGCGCCCTCAGAGCGGCACCTAGTGGTTGGTCCGACAGGATTCTGATCGGGTGCGCTTGGAAGTAGTGTGTCAACTTCTTGGCGGTGATGTAGGCGGCATATATTGTCTTCTCGAGCGGGGTGTACCGGAGCTCAGCATTCTGGAGGGTCTTGCTCACATAGTAGACGGGACGCTGAACGCCTTCCTCCTCGCGAACCAGCACGGAACTGATTGCACCTTGGGAAACCCCAAGATAAAGGATTAACGTCTCCCCCCTCTCCGGCTTGCTGAGTGAAGGCTCAGAGAGGAGGTACTTCTTCAGGTCGTCGAAGGCTCGCTGACACTCATCATTCCATACGAAACCATTTTGTTTCTTTAGGACTTGGAAGAAGGGTAGGGACTTCTCGGCGGACTTGGACATGAAACGTCCAAGGGCTGCTAGCCGGCCGGTGAGAATCTGGACTTCTTTCACCGACCTCGGGGGTTCCATGTCAAGTATTGCCCTTACCTTCTCGGGATTTGGCTCAATCCCCCTCCGTGTGACCATGTACCCCAGGAACTTGCCTCCTTGGACGGCAAAGGTACATTTCTTTGGGTTCAGGCGCAGACAGACTGCCTTCATGATCCCTAAGATCTCTGCCAAATCATCTGCATGATCGGATGCCCGGGTGCTCTTGACGATCATGTCGTCAACATACGCCTCCATGTTCTTTCCGAGCACCTTGGCCACCATCCTCGTGTACGTCGCCCCAGAGTTCTTCTGCCCGAAGGCCATGACAAGATAACAAAAAATCCCCTCTGGGGTGACGAATGAGGTCTTCTCCGCATCTTCTTCATGCATGAAAATCTTATGGTATCCTCGAAAAGTGTCCATGAAGCTAAGCAGCTCACATCCGTCCGGCCCATCGACTAGTTGGTCGATGTTAGGCAATGGGAATGGATCCATCGGACATGCCTTGTTGAGATCGGTGTAATCAACACACATCCTCCAGGTTGGCGGCTTCGGGGCCAGGACCACGTTTGCCAGCCAGACCGGGTACAAGACCTCCCAGATATGCTTGATACCCAGGAGCATATTGACCTCCTTCTTCACGAATTCCCTTCTCTCGGTTGAGAGGTGTCTTCTTTTCTGCTGGATGGGCTTCGCCGTTGGATTGACCGCCAGCCGATGGACAACGATGCTTCGGTCAAGGCCAGGCATGTCCTCCGGTCTCCACGTGAAGACAACGCTAAAAAGGACAAGTACCTGGATAATCTTCTCCCTCAAGCCGGCCGGGAGCCCGGTCCCGATCTTGACCTTCCGCTCCGGCCTCTCGGGGTCAATCTGGATCTCCTCCACTTCTGAGGTGGGTTCAGCGCGGAGCTGACCCTCCTCATACTTCATGGCTTTGCTGTTGATAGTGTGGACCCTCAAGTCTTTTTGACCGATTTGTTTGCAAGCTTTCAGATAGCAGCTCCTCGCCATTCGCTGATCTCCCCTGGCGACTCCGACGCCATTCGGAGTGGGAAACTTCATGCATAGGTGTTCTTGGGATATCACACATCTGAGGTCTTCCAGGGCCGGCCTTCCCATGATGATCTTATGCGCACAAGTTAGGCGTACGACGATAAACTCGACGTCTAACTTGGATACGCAGGGCTCGGAGCCCACCATCACGGGGAGGACTATGCTGCCCTCCGACTCAATGGAGTCCCCGGTGAAGCCCGAGAGTGGGGTTCTCACCGGGATCAAGTCTTTTTGGTCCAGCCCAAGACCTTGGAAGGTGTCATAGTACATGATGTTAACGGAGCTCCCATTGTCCACCAGGACTCGGTGGACGATCGTGTTGTTGATTTCGACCTTGATCACCAAGGCATCCCTGTGCGGTGGAGGCATCAGTGGCAAATCTGCGTCGGTGAAGAAGATGGGGTCCCTCTTCACCCTCTTGTCGGTGGGAGCCCTGGTTATCTCCCCGACGTATAGGGCTCGGGCCCACTGCTTCCGCTCTCCAAAGGTGTCGCCTCCCTGGGGTCCCCCGAATATGAACGAACATCGATGGTACTTCCGGGGGCCGTTCCCTAGGTTGGCATCGTCTTCCTCGGAGAAGGCGCCGAGCTCCCGCTTCTTGGCAGGGGGTGTCTCCTTTGACGTGGTAGCTTGGTCGGACCGTTGCCACGTCAGGCTCCTCTTCTGCGGGATGCCTCCTTGTTTGCCAACGAATTGGCCCAGGTACCCTTTCTGGATGAGTTCTTCAATTTTCCGTCGGAGAATGACGCAATCATCTGTATCATGCCCTGCTCTCCGATGGAATCGACAATATTGGTCGTGGTTGCGCTTGGCAGTCACCACATCACACTCCTCCGGAAAGTCGACTAAACCTTGCTCCTCCGCGTAGTCGAGGATGGCCCCGACCGGCTGAGCAAGTGGAGTCAATTGCTTGACGGGCTGTAGCGGTCCGCTCGGGACGTCCACCTTGTCCTTGCCTCTACTTTTGTTACCTCTGTACTTGTTGTTTTTGTTGCTAGCTTTGCCGTCAGCTTTCTCAGCACCCGAACCGGCTTCCTTCTTCTTTTCTTCTTTTGCACCTTCTTCCTCATCTCTTTTCCTCTGCAAGGCGTCCTCTGCCTCGACTTGCCGGTCGGCACGGCCGAGCGCCTCCTCGTACGAGGTGGGGGGACTTCTGACGAAATCTTTGTAAAGCTCGCCCGATCGGATAGAGTTTGTGAGCATGGCCACCCCGGTCCTGTCATCAAGGCCCTGAACCTTGACTGACTCGGCCCTCCACCTTGCTAGAAAGGTCGACAATGATTCCTTCTTCCCCTGTTTTAGGCCGAACAGGTGGCTGAAGTTTTTCTTGACGTCTCGGGAGCTTGCGAACCTCAAGAGAAAGCGTTGAGCCAACTCACGGAAATTCGTGATACTCCCGTCGGATAGAGAGTCATACCATTCACGAGCCGGGCCATCCAAAGTGGCGGAGAAACCGCGGCATCGGATGGCGTCCTCGTACCCCATCATGACCATGTAGGAAAGGTACCGGGATACATGATGCTGGGGGTCAGAAGCGCCCTTGTATGCTTCAATGGCGCAGGGCTTGTAGCCCCTCGGCAACGGCGCAACCATGACCGCCCGGGTGAAGGGTTCGGGTATCCGGAGGTCGGTCGTGTAGGGCTCCCCCCCGACGACCCTCCTTCTCAACTCGTCAAGGCGCTGTCGTAGATCTTCCACCTCGGCCGGCGGTGGGTTCCCCCGGACAGCTCCAGCGCGGGGCTGGGCATGTCCGGCGGCACCTCCAAGTCGTCCGTGCACGTGAGGTCGGGGCCCCACGTTTTGCCTCTCCGTGGAGCTAGTCTGACTGCCCGCCCGGTGAGAGTGGCGAGAGGGCTCGCCTCCTTCCATCTGCGTTGGGCGCCCCTCCCCGTCTGCCGATAGGGTCGGCTAGGCTGCTGGGAGACTTCTTCCCCCCGCCGATGGGAGAATTCTTCCCCCCTGTTTTGGTTGGATCCAGAGCGTCGCTCATCACGCCGCCTGGAGGACACCTCCACATCCGCTGGCGTCTGGTGACGGGCAGGCTCATCCACATTTCCGCCAGACACCATCTCTTGGAAATTTTGAGCCAAGGTCCCCAGAACCCGAGTTGCCTCCTGCAGGGCTTCCACCCCGGCATTGAGTCGAGCCGGGTCCATGCGCGGAGCATGACGTCGGCCTCCCCCCCCCCCCCCCGGCTGCGGACCGAACGCTCACCTTGGGTGTGGTTGAGCGTCGCCCTTAGGTCGCCGTGGCCTGATAATTGGTTCCGAAGGTCGCCTTGGCGCGCCGCCCTCCTGCCCTGTGCATGGTTGTCGAGGGCACGCTGGCGGCCAGACCGGGCGGACTCCTCGGTGTGGACTGAGACATGGTCGCGTCGAGACGAGATTCCGGCCATCTTCCTGTGTGATTCCTACTCAAGTTATGTGAGAGACAATAGAGGCTCTCAATGAAAGCACCAATGTTGGTCCAAAATAGGACGCTCGTAGGCTTTTAGGAAAGCTACGTACGACACTCAAGCAAGAATTAGGAAAGTACGAATATGGAAAGTTAGCCAGAAATAGCATATCTGTATTTGAAATTCGAATTGCCTTTTATAGGCGATTACAAATGGTAACTGCCGAACATAATAATGACTAAATTAATTAAAACATTAATACGGAATTAAACACATAATTAAGTCGCGCATTGATTGTTGGCCGTTACTCTTCCTGGCTGGCAGGTCAGCCTGGCTGGCGGGCTGGACGCTTGAGCTCCCCCCCCCCTGCTGGACTGGACGGTGGGCTTCCCGCTAGGCTGGAGGAAGGCTTCTGACCGGGCTGGAGACAGGCTCCCGGGTAGGCTGGAAGGCAGGATCCCGGGTAGGCTGGAAGGCAGGCTCCTCGTTGGGCTGGAAGGCAGGCTCCCGGGTAGGCTGGACCGCAGGCTCCCAGTTGGGCTGGACCGCAGGCTCCCGGGTAGGCTGGAAGGAATGCTCCCAGGTAGGCTGGACCGCAGGCTCCCAGTTGGGCTGGACCGCAGGCTCCCAGCTGGGCTGGTGGTCGACAGGCTCCTGGCTAGGCTGGAAGGCAGGCTCCCGGGTAGGCTGGACCGTAGGCTCCCCGCTGGACTGGTCGACAGGCTCTCTTGGGCTTCCGCTCCTTGATTTCCCTGGTTGGTTGGGCTGACTCGAGCTCTGGGTTGCTGGGCTTGGGCCCGCTGGTCCAAGTTCGGGGCCTAGGCCGATTAGGCTCTGGGCCTAGTCCCATAACCCCATCAATTCACATACTAGAGAGCCATAATTATGGATTCTGTCTATCCCAGACTTCAAATCCAGATCAACTCCCAAAAATTTCTGAAATTCATAATTTTATAAAAAAAATCGTAATTTATTTTATCTTTCCCTTTTTTTCCTCTCTTTCCTTTTCTTTTCTTTCCTTTCTTTTCTTTTCTTTGCTTTGCTTTTCTTTTCTTTTCTTTTCTTTTCTTTTCTTTTCTTTCCTTTCTTTTCTTTTCTTTTCTTTCCTTTCCTTTCTTTTTTTTCGTTGTCCTGGAAACCTCTACGTGCGTGCGTCTTCTCCGGGTAGCCCAGCGCTGCAGTTCTCCCACCGACTGGGTTGACCGCCATCCGCCGTGCGCCTCCTCCGTGCACCTCTGCTACGCGGTTGTCCCGTTCCACCCACCGGTCGCTGGCGTCGCCCCTGCGGTCCGGTGAATCTGGCCGACGGGTTTGGGCTTATATGTTTGGCCGGCGCAACTCACAGGTATCGGCGCCCACCCCTGACGGCCATCGTCACCCAGGAGGCTGGCGGTCATGCGGGCAGGCGTCGTCAAGGGAGTTGGCTGCCAGGCCGCCCCTCCCCATGTCGGAGGAGTCGTCCGGTGTCGCTCGGCCAGATTGCTGCCGCTGCATGTTTCTTCCGTTATTAATTTCCTACAGGGTTCCTTTATTTGTTGGGTCGGTGGAAGTCCATGCGTACCTAGACTAGGCATCGATCCCCTGGTTTTGATGGAGTAGAAGGCTGGAGGTTCCGTAGGCGCCCAGCTTTCCCCACGAGTTTGAAGGAAGTTTGTTGCACGCTGCTGCATGGCGCCCCACGTGAGTAGTTCTTTCGGTGCTCGGCTTCACCTTGGCCAGACAGTTTGGGTTGGGGGCTAGCGGCCGCCCCTCTGCTGGCATGCGTTGCTCAAGAAGCCGGCAACTACCCACTAGGCGGCCAAGGCGGGTGCTCCCTTTGTTGACGCACTCCATGTTAACATGCGGTTTGACGTTTTGTTGTTTCTCTCTTTTTTTGTCTTTGCAGATTTGCCTCAAGGCTGGGGGTGCATCTTGGACTGCTCATTGTTTCCAGGTAAAGATCTTTCACGATCCTGACAAGGCAAAGGTCGTGATGGCAGGCGGCAAGACACTTGTAGAGTTTCAGGCATCGACTAGGTCTCCCTAGCCCCTAGATAGGTTTGAAGAATCCTAATAATGAGAGAGCTCCAGTTGAACTTGACGACCACCTATCGAGAGGAGACCGTCCATGGTGAGGACCGAGTTGAATTACACCATTACACTTGATGGCGATGAGTCCTCCCAGCCATGAAATTGTAATATTTCTTTTTTTTGAAGTTCAAAGATGCAGATGTAACATTTGACTTGGTGATTAATTTTGAATTCATATGTTTCTTTTTCTATACTTTGCAATACGAATACTTAGCAATTTATTCAAGGATCTGGCTTCTCTAACCTCCCAGGGGGGGCGGTTAGGCTGGCGTTGACGAGCCTATCCGTGCCCCTCCCGGTCAGATAAAAGTGATATGTTCGTTGTTGATATGGAACCAACAAATATGCGACTTGTTTGGCCAGCAAGGTCGGACATTGAAAGTTTGAGGGGAACACTTAGGTTGGCACCTTGAGCTCTCATGACTCGGGGGTCAGTCCTACTGTCGCTTTAACCCGTCCAGTATGCCTGAACTTGGGGAATAATCTGGTTACTCCCGCAAGGATAGCCAAACAATAGGGGCAGACCCTGCACGATCCACCAGAACAGACCAACACCACCAACTCGAGGATGGCGAGAGTGCGAGCTGCTTGGCTAGCGATGTTAGGGGGCGAGCACTCGAAAGGACCCCGGAGTTCAGCATCCTGAGTACCCTCGATCCGTAGGTCGGTCCTAGTGTCGCCTCGACTGTCGCTGGCAGATGTGGAGGTGTACTCCAGGCGGCGTGACGAGCGACGCTCTGGATCCAACCAACAAAGAAGGGAAGAAGTCTCCCAGCAGCTTAGCATGTCCTATCGGCAGGCTGGGAGGGTGCCCGGCAAGGGCGCTCAATGCAAATGGAGGGAGGCGAGCCCTCTCGCTACTCTCACCGGGAGAGCAGTCGGACCGGCTCCATGGAGAGGCAAAACGTGGGGCCCCGACCTCACGTGCACGGACGACTTGGAGGTGCTGCTGGACATGCCTAGTCCCACGTTGGGGCTGTCTGGAGAAACCCACCACCGACCGAGGTGGAAGATCTACAACAGCGCCTCGACGAGTTGAGAAGAAAGGTTGTCGGGGGGGAGCCTTACACGGCTGACCTCCGGATACCCGAACCTTTCACCCGGGCGGTCATGGATGCGCCGTTGCCCAGGGGCTACAAGCCCTGCACCATCGAAGCATACAAGGGCACTTTTGACCCCCAACATCATGTGTCTCGATACCTTTTCTACATGGTGATGATGGGGTACGAAGACGCCATTGGATGTCGCGATTTCTCTGCCACTTTGGATGGCCCGGCTAGTGAATGGTATGAATCTTTACCCGACGGGAGTATCACGAATTTTCGTTAGTTGGCTCAGCGCTTTCTCTTAAGGTTCGCGAGCTCCCGAGATGTCAAAAAGAACTTCAGCCACCTGTTCGGCTCTAAACAGTGGAAGAAGGAATCATTGTCGACCTTCTTAACGAGGTGGAGGGCCGAGCCAGACAAGGTTCAGGGCCTTGATGACAGGACCGGGGTGGCCATTCTCACAAACTCTGTTCGATCGGGTGAGCTTTACAAAGTTTCGTCAGAAGCCCCCCTACCTCGTATGAGGAGGCGCTCGGCCGTACCGACCGCCAAGACGAGGTGGAGGACGCCTTGCAGAGGAAAAGAGATGAGGAAGAAGGCGCAAAAGAAGAGAAGAAGAAGGAAGTTGGTTCGGGTGCTCAGAAAACTGACGGCAAAGCCGACAGCAAGAACAACAAGTACAAAGGCAACAAAAGCAAAGGCAAGGGCAAAACGGACATCCCGAGCGGACTGCTCCTGCCCGTCAAGCAATTGACTCCCCTTGCTCAGCCGGTCGGGGCCATCCTCGACTACGCGGAGGAGCAAGGTTTAGTCGAATTTCTGGAGGAGTGTGATGTGGTGATTGCCAAGCGCAACCACGACCAATATTGTCGATTCCATCGGAGAGCAGGGCACGATACGGGAGATTGCGTCATTCTCCGATGGCGAATTGAAGAGCTCATCCAAAAGGGTACTTGGGCCAATTCGTTGGCAAACAATCAAACATCTCACAGAAGAGGAGCCTGACGTGGCAACAATCCGATCAAGCTACCACCTTAAAGGAGAAACAACCTCCCAAGAAGAAGGAGCTAGGCGCCCTCTCCGAATAAGACGATGCCGACCTGGGGAATGGCTCCCGGAAGTACCATCGATGTTCATTCATATTCGGGAGACCCCAGGGAGGCGACACCTCTGGAGAACGGAAACAGTGGGCCCGAGCCCTATACGTCGGGAGATAACCAGGGCTCCCGCCGACAAGAGGGTGAAGAGGGATCCAATCTTCTTCATCGACGCAGATTTGCCACCGATGCCTCCGCCGTAAGGGGATGCCTTGGTGATCAAGGTCGAAATCAACGACACCATCATCTACCGAGTCCTGGTGGACAATGGGAGCTCTATTAACACCATGTACTATGACACCTTCCAGGGTCTCGGCTTAGACCGAAAGGACTCGATCCTGGTAAGAACCCCACTCCCGGGCTTCACCGGGGACTCCATTGAGTCAGAGGGCAGCATAGTCCTCCCCGTGATGGTGGGCTTCGAGCCCTGCGTGTCCAAGTTAGACGTCGAGTTTATCGTCGTACGCCTAACTTGTGCGCATAAGATCATCATGGGTAGGCCGGCCCTGGAGGACCTCAAATGTGTGATATCCCAGGAGCACCTATGCATGAAGTTCCCCACTCCGAATGGAGTCGGAGTTGTCAGAGGAGACCAGCAGATGGCGAGGAGCTGCTATCTGAAAGCTTGCAAACAAATCGGTCAGAAAGACTTGAGGGTCCACACCATCAACAACAAAGTCGTGAAGTATGAGGAGGGTCAGCTCCGCGCTGAACCCGCCTCAGGAGTGGAGGAAATCCAAATTGACCCCGAGAGGCTGGAGCGGAAGGTCAAGATCGGGACCGGGCTCCCGGTCGGCTTGAGGGAGAAGAACATCTAGGTCCTTGTCCTTTTTAGCATCGTCTTTGCATGGGGACCGAAGGACATGCCAGGCCTCGACTGAAGCATCGCTGTCCATCGGCTGGCGGTCGACCCAACAGTGAAGCCCATTCAGCAGAAAAGAAGACACCTCTCAATCGAGAGGAGGGAATTCGTGAAGAATGAGGTCAACATGCTCCTGAGTATCAAACACATTCGGAAGGTCCTATACCCGGTCTGGTTGGCAAACATGGTCCTGGTCCCGAAGCCGCCAACCTGGAAGATGTGTGTTGACTACACCGATCTCAACAAGGCATGTCCGATGGATCCATTCCCATTGCCTAACATCAACCAATTGGTCGATGGGTCGGCCGGATGTGAGCTCCTTAGCTTCATGGACACTTTTCGAGGATACCATCAGATTTTCATGCATGAAGATGATGCAGAGAAGATCTCGTTCGTCACCCCAGAGGGGATTTTTTGTTTTCTTGTCATGGCCTTCGGTCTGAAGATTTCTGGGGCGACGTACATGAGGATGGTAGCCAAGGTATTTCGGAAGGTGCTTGGAAGTAACATGGAGGCTTATGTTGATGACATGATCGTCAAGAGCACCTGGGCGTCTGATCATGCAGATGACCTGGCCGAGATCTTTGGGATCATGAAGGCAGTCTG